TCAAAGGTCCATGTAATGAACCATTTCTTATGAATGTCATCATACATGCCCAATGAATTCATCGCTCTATCATAATTTTCCAGATGTTCAGATATGTTTCCTGAACCTCTAGAAAATTGTGGGACAGTCTCTCTAAGGAATTTGATGACCTTTGGCGTTTCATAAACAGGCGTCGTTGATTTACGACCTCTGTTTCTGTGTTTGGGTAAACGTCTATGCGATCTGTCTGCTGAAGAGGAATTAGACCTGTACAACAGTGCAGATGGCATATCAGTTACATGGCCTTCAGAGTGGATAGTGCAATCACTTTCACTCCCATCACTCTGAGCTTCTTGTTCACTGTCACAATTCTGATCAGCATCAGAATCCTGCCAGTGTACAGAACCATGTCTGTTTTCATTCCTATCACCTTGAATTGGACTCTCCCTCTCAAGTTTGGCCAAGACAGCTTTTTCAAATTGTTCTGCCCAAGATTGCCAAGATGGTTTGGTAATGTCATGAGATGGGGAATCTTGTTCCACAGGTGATTTTTTAGAATTACTCACACCTTTACTTACAGACTGTTTTATGAAAACCTGGTTTGGTGTGGGAAAATCATAATAAGGAGGGGATTTACAGATAGTCTTTTCTTGCATTTTTGTGCAACTTTTTGGCACAGAATGATGACTACTAACCTCACTGCCTGATTTCTGACTCTCCTCTTCATCCTCATCCAATTGCATTTTAAGCTGATTTATTTCCTGTGCATATTTATCCATCAAAGCTTTCATTTCTTTTTCATGATCAGCCTGACGAGTTTTATGCTCAGCAAGTAAATCTTGGTATTTCCCATTTTGAATGCCCAAATCGTCACTGTACGTGTCCAATTTGGCATTTAGTGACTTGTTTTCATCACACACCTTAAGAAGTGCTGTCATAAAGAAAGGCCAAGAGTGTATTATGTACGCCATTTTCCTTTCTATGTTCTTTTGTTCAGCAATTTCTTTAAGATATATGATGATGTGTTCATCAGTTAGAATGGTGTGTTTAGCTTTCCATTCTATGCTTTTCAACCAAACCTCATAGGTTGCATCATTTTTCATATGTTTATGAATATGAACTAGAGCATGTTTTCTTAGGTCTTCAATTATTTCAGTATTATCTGTTACAGATGTATTACTGGATTCAGCCATATTTCTATACAGTGATTTAATCTCAATACAAAACTTTTTTCTATATCAAGATTAAATTGCATGAATTACACCAATATTATTATTATATATGAAATACAATTTCAACTTAAACGATCTCAGCAGTGCCTCCAATATGTGGGAATATTTATGGGATAATAATAGTAACAGTGAGAATTGCCCACTAATTCAATTCTCAGATCCCAAAGAACGTTTATCGTGTTAAGTGGAAAGTATTTCATATAAATAATCACAATGTATAAAAATAGATTTTATTTATATGACAAATTAATAATAATAATATTATATGTAACATGCATAACAATAATCAATGAATATTCAGTACAAAATTATATGCAATACAAAGAAATGGGTATTACGTTTCAATGGCTAAATAGCATTTCCTGTCAAGAATTATTTATGACTATCTTTAACACAGGTTGAAAGTGAAACTTTTCACAGCGAAGAACAGAATTCCTCAGAGTGCAGCGTAAGGTCGTAAAGTTTAGCAGACAGTTAGAATAACCCTTTCAATGCTGGCTAGATCTCCTAGGTAGTTAAGATCTATTCTTATGTCATTTTTAAATAAAATAACATTTAACCCAGTCTTTAGTCGTTTCCTGAAATCATCCAATAAGAGAATCTAACATATTATATAAGCAGATTTTTAATTTGTCTAAAAGATATCTATCTTAATTTAGAGCAAATCAATACACCTGGATAAAAACAGCGGTATGCTAACACGTGATAATATCACATCAATATATAATTATTCTTAATTCCACCTGCAGAATGGAATATTTATAACTATATATTCTTAGTTAACTAAGATTTTTTAATATGGAAATCTGACCGTGCTTTATCCAGTCATATATAATGCTATTAATACATTTTAATTAATTTAATTAAATTAAATGAAACCAGTATAATTACCAGTTGAGTAGATATTTCATCCGATTGGTAGTCTCAGGAACTTATTTGGATGTCTCTCTCTGCATGGAGGTTGGAGTCCCCAAACTTCCAATTCCTCTCTCCTCTTTTTCTTTGCATCTCTTGCATACCCCCTCTGTCTT